CAAGGGGACAGATCCATAAGGGCATCCATCAGCCTTCCATAGGCTGTCCGCTGCGGAGGGACCTCAGTCCTAGCGGCTAAAGACACGGGTGTAATAAGCTCTCCCTGTAAACTCTGGGGCGTCTGTCAGCCTGTTGGCTGCCTGCCGTGGAGGGACCCGGTCCTAGCAGTCAAAGACACGGACGTGAAACTTCTTGGGGCGACCGTCGGTCTTCCCTAATGCCGCCCACTGTGATAGGACCTTGTGTCCAGGCAGTTGAAGACTCAGGTGTATAACACACACGCACTGCCCTGACCATCGGCTGACATGCATCCTCTTAGATTGTTTAGAGGTTGCAGAGCTTGCCGCTGCAGCTGCCTTGTCTGACGTCGCTGCTGAGAGGATGCATGGAAGGCAGAGTCTAAAGCTGGTCAGATTGCCGTCCAAGCAAGAGATAGGTTTCAGTTTTAGCTATCTTGCTATGTTTGCTCCGACTGTCAGGGCTCTGTGAAAGAGCACACTGAATTACTCCGCATTACTCCCTCAGGTAGCAGAGATAAGCGACGCCCCTCTGGGTGGTAAATATACAAGTGGCAAATAGGTGGCATCTGAGCACCAGACACAGTGGTGTATGCCTGGAGGGGGGGGGTTCTGAGGAGGTCAATATGGAAGTTCTCCTCAGATGAATTAAAAAAAAGATTAACAGCAGTAAAACCAATAAAAACATGGAGGGGAGAGCCCTTGTGAGGTGATTCCTACAAGGGGAAAGTGGCAGGCAGTGAGCCTCCACTTATTTGTAGTTCTGCGGTGTGTCGCAAAAGAAAGGTGGTTTTTTATCTTCTTTGTGTAAAGGAAAATTATTTAAAGGCTAAGTCTGACTGAAACACTATGGTAAAAGGGTATCTAACTACTAAGTGAGGAGCTAAATACAGAGCACACTGCGGGTTCTGACCAGCACCGGCAGCGGCAGAGAAGGAACTGGAGGATTTGTGGCTCGCACGTCTGCACACGTGCCCCCAGCCTATCCACAAGCCCTACTATAGAAATCTTCCCACTGGACGCTCCTTGGAGCACCCACAGGGATGGCCTCAAAGAAGAACGGCTGCACTGTGTAAAATACCTATGTTTTGTGTATAGGCAAAACAATACTGTAAAATATAGTTCTCTGGATTGCTATTCATTTCCCCAGTTTCATCACCTTTACTATGCTTGACAGAAAAAACAGAGATACAGGGAGAAAAGATTTGCAGAACCATGACTGGGACAACACTGAAATATAAGAAGGCAAGTATGAGTGGCTTTTTAAACAAGTCCTTCACTCCAGAAGAAAACAATGTCAAAGATTTTTCTGCTCTGCAGCTCCACAAGAAAAACACCAGGACTGCAAGCATTGAACGCTGGCTCAGACAGAAAACTCATTTTCACAATTTAGATTGCTCTTTTTACATGAAAACTACTGGATTTGTTTTCAAACAACAAATCTGTTGTTTTCACAGGCTTTTTTATTTCCTGATTGCCTTTGAGCTATCACTTGCAGGCTTCATCAGTGGCTGTCAAGCAGACAGTGCTGTGATGTGAATAGTTAAGCTTACACTCTTAAATTTATTCCTAACATCTAGCCTAAGGAGAACCCCTTCTCCTACAGGATGTAGAAGAATTTTAAGATTCAGATTGTAGAAGGAGCATGGGCATTTATTCTGAGGGTCAGGGGTAAAAGTAACTACGTAACTTAAATTTCTTACGGGTACTCCAACCCCCGTGCCTCCGCTTGGAGGAAGCACCTCAGGACACGGGTTTGCAGCGATACAACAGTACCTTTAAGAAATTTAAGGGCATAATGGAGTGCAGGTGCTCAGGGTAGAGGGTTGCAGTGTGTGGGGAGTGCACAGGACCGGGGGCTTAAAGTGGAGGAGAGAGTGGGGGTTGGGGTCCTGGGGCCAGGTTAATTCACCTGGCCAGGACCAGGCCATGCAGCTGTATTTGTGATCCGCTATAACCTCCGATCCTTTTCTGCCATGCTGCTTCCTCTGCGATTCACAGGGACAGCTGAGTGAATTTTGTTTGTTACTTATGATTAGGGTTACCAGATGGTTGAAACAAAAATACTGAACACTCCCTCCTCAAAAAAAAAAAACGCGCGCGCGCGCGCGCACACACACACACACACCAGGAAAAAATTCTGTTGAAGGAAAAAAAAGGGGGGGGGGAGACAACCAAAGCTGTTGAGCAAAAATAAATAAATAAAAATAAAACAGCATGTCCCCTTTAAGAGTGAGTGCAGAGATAGGAACAGGGGAGAAGTTGAGCACTAAGACCCAGGCGAAGCATTGCTTCCCCTTGGTTGGAAGCCATTTTGTGACAGCAGCCTTGTGGAACCAGGTAAGCATGAGGTCTGGGAGTGTTGGGAGCCGGGGGAA